TACAAAGGCTTACTCGCTCCATCACTTGAACGCTTAAACGTTTTGCCAGTTTTTTCTGACGCGCGATGAACGAGTAAGTGTATCTCTGTGAATAAAAGAAAGATGAATCATATTCACCAAAACAAAAACACTTGTGTCAACATATTTTCAACTTACACAAAAGACTGTACATAGTTTCCTTTATTACAAATGAGACATTTGCACTATCCAAAAAGCTTTTGTCCAATAAACATGGTTTGCTATATTATTTTCTGACAAAATGTCTGCATGTAGATAAGAATGCTAATTTCATTTCCATTGGATACAGTTTTTACCATGGCCTACTTCCTTTTGTATATAAATAATTGTCATAAACTGCAAATATGGGCAAAATGGACAAACTGTACTGTGTGTTTGAAAGTTGCCAATTCTTGCAAAAATACCCAACAGACCAGCACTGCATGCAACAGTTTTGAAATCAGGCCCTAAATACTAAACTACCCATCACCATGCAAAAAGAAAGAAACAAAAAACTAAAGAGACTGAACTCCTCAACACAATACATTATAATTATGGTTCAAAAGCCATGTTAATGTGTTGTGATGGTTATAATTGACAAGTACATCTTAATATATTAGTTTTATAACAGTATCAAGTTAAAGAATACAGTTTTGAAACTTGAACAGATTATCTTTGTGAAATAAGTTTAATAACTTTGTTGAATAAACAAAAGCATAATAATAAGCTAAAGCCCTGCAAGAACTGATTTTTATTGTTTCAATAACTTGTGGTATTATTGCAAACATTGACCATCTTCATACTAATACTGTAAACCTACTCTCTTTACCAGATCAACAACACTCCTTATTGACTTGCCAGCAATGGCTCTCCCAGCAATTTGCCCTCATCACTGAGCTGCCAGAGAAGAATTTTACAAGAACCAACAATAATAACCAGATAGGCAAGAGCTTTCCATGTCTTGCGCAAGTCAACAATCTCAGAACTGATCCAGTAGTCTGCTAGCTGGTCACCTGGCCCATTCTTCTCCAAAATCCATTCATGAATAGTTTTTCCAGCTCGACCAAATTTATCATAGGGGGCAAACTTGAGCTGGAGCACTGCTGATACATCTGAAATGACATTCAGTCTTGATGCTTTTCGAAAGTTAATTGATCGATATTGACCTGATGATGGTGCTGCAGGCTCAATGTCTAGGAAACTAATTCTGATGGCCCTCCACTCTGTAATTATTAGATGGTTTGTTGGTAGTGCCTTGATCAGCAAGTCAATCTGTCCACCTGATCCAGTTGACTATGGGGACATAGTTAGTATTAGCATGGCAGAAGCAATGGATATTTGAACTTGTTTCCTACCTTGGTGGTGTTAAACTCTCTGTTGACCTCTAGCAAAAGTGGATTCCTGAAAAGTGTAAAGTGAAAGCTGTCACAATGATGTGCTTCTAATTTCTCAAGGTCATTGTCACTAACATCACACTCACTCATGAGCCTTTGATAGTAACCCAAAAGCATTGAGATGTCTCCAGTTGATGACAATTTCTGAAGAGCATCCTTAATATCACTTGTACATAGCTGATAGTGGTTCAAAATAGCCCTTGCAAAACGTTCAGTAGCAACTAGGTTTGGAATCTGCAGTTGCTTATCAGGCATCTGATTGGCAAATGTAAGACCTCCAACATAGAGCATGAAGCTCAGCCATGAAGGTTTGCTCTCTATGATGTCAGTGTGCTGAATAATAATAATAATAAAGAGAGGCAAGTTGTTGTTGTTAAGGACAATGATGTATGATGCACACAGTATAAACTATAGGGATAACATACCAAATCTGAAAGGCAGAACTCCCTCCGCAGTTCATTATAATTATATGGGATTTGAACATGCCAGGAATTGCCATCTGGTGTCAAATCATTACTCAAGGCATCTTCAAGAATGCTGGTTGCAACAGGTGAGGCAGCAAGTACCTGAAGCAATTGCTCAGATGTTTCTGAGTTTGAAGGATTATTTGGCTGAGGAGGTTTTTTGACCAGGATACTCTAATATTGGTAATGACAGGGAAAATAATAGTAAGATTTAGCAGTTTGATGGCATAACATGAATAACTATCTATGGAACAAAGGCAAAGACTGCTCACCTCAAAATATTCCAGGCAGGTGTTGGTGTTGAAAATAAGTGGGACTTTATCATATCCACAGAAATGGTAACCATCAAAGTAGTGTTTCATGATGTCAAAATGCTTCTGAACTAGTGGGACATTTGAGCCACAGAGACCAGGCAGTTGTAGAGCAGCATGCACATCCTCATGGCTGAGGCCACAAAGCCCAAAGAGCTCTCTTCTGAATGAGACATTTGTTGCAATGTTGAAGCCACTGGTATAATCTGCCATTGAGAGTGGTAACACACCTGTGATGAAGCACTTTTCAATCTGTTGATAACCCATGGATTGCTTCACATGAGCCCAGAAGCCTTTAAGCAATGACTGTTTATTCTGATGAAGAGCATGCCTGGCACTATTACTATGGTCATCAGGATTTAGATAGTTATTGATAAAAGCATCATATTCATCAGCTAGGAGATAAATCTGTAAACAGAACAAACTCAAGATTAAGTGATAACTCAACAAACAGCAATGAAGATATGATCTGTTACTTACCCCTTTGACATCACCAAGCAAATGATTATTAAATCCTTTAACAGCTCGGAGTTTTTCTTGAACCACAGAAATGCATTCTGCAAAACTGGAAATAGCATCATCTCGCATAATAAGATCCTGAATCAGCTGCTCACTTGTCTTGCTTCCCAGATAGGAGGCATAAGTGTTGTAGAACTGCTCAATGGACTTATTAATCATGTTGTTGAGTACTGTTTCAGCAACCTTTATATCATCTGAATGGTTGAGTCCAGAAAAGTTGAAAGATAAAATGAGGTACTGGCCAGGTATGACCTTGCCAGCCTTGACATCTTTGTTAACAGAGAGGCCCTGCAAGGAAATGGATGGAGTCAAAATAGAAAGAAAAAAAAAGTGATGTTATTGTTCTGTACCTGGAAGAGTTTGTCATAACAATCCTTGTATTCTACCCCATGAAAGTGAGCCAGCATACTGAGGGTTAATGACTTGCCAAACCGTCGTGGTCGCAAAAAGAGCAGTACTCTGCTTCCAAAGGACTCAAGTACTGATATATAGTGTGTACGGTCAAAGTAAGCATATTCAGGATTAGTGCGGAGCAATCTAAAGTCACTAAGTGCATCGAGAGGAAAACATCGAAATTTGGCTGAGTTGAGCACCAGTGTAGCCTCTCTGTAGTCAATGGGTGCAATTTGAATAGTGTATTGCTTCTTCAGAGCAGACAATTCTTTCCAGAACAGTCTAGAGACTTGATGTGGATAGAGCTGCATCTTTGGGAAGCTAAAGTTTCTTCTGAGGCAAGTACCAAGTTGTCGTGCATAAACGTTCAGCATTGACACAACGAGCGGCGAAGGAAGGTGAGTCTATTGAACAGACTCTCAGCGAGAGAACGTATCATCAGTAGTCACGTGGAGGTTAGCGTGGATCGCGTCCCATAATATTTCTCATACATCAACTTTTATGTTTATTTGTAATTAAGTCATCTCGTCCGCAAACGCAGGACGCTGATGCCGACATCAACACCACATCTAATCCACTGCGCCTCCTAATTCACCATCTTCGTCGTCGTCATTGTCATCAACAACTCGGCATCAATGTCATTGTCATTATCACTGTCACTGCTATAAACTTTAATTCTACATGCGATTTCTCCCTTCCAGAGAGTATCTTACCAAAGGATGTTGAAAAGTGAACAAAAAGCGGACCCCGTAAGGCAGCTGAATGCTATTTTTTAAAACGATATAATAACCATTGAGAGTTTTTTACATGGGACAATCCCGAAGACGTCATGACGATGCGATGGATTTGGAAGACGTATGATAATAATCAGTCGTGGATCAAATCAAACGGCATGCAATGGATGATCAGGATGAGGTAGAGATTTTTCAGTATCAGCAGGAGGGCGGAAAAGCGGATTGTCGTAAAAGTGTTGCAAGTCAAAAGAAACAAAGCACATTGATGTCTTGTTGTCCATTGGATGTTTCAGGCAGACTTTGCAAGTATGATTGATATTCTCAAGTGACGATGTATTTGCATATTCGATCAGCTCTTGATGATAGTTTGGGAGTTGACAGAATTGAGTCATTCAGGCTTGGTTGTAGTTGTTGGTGTTGCAGCTGTTGCTCATTGTTCTCTTGACTAAATACCAACATACACTCCCAAATAATTATAACATATTGTCCCAAGTGCTTATTCGTTTAAGTCGTCTAATTTTATTGATACTTTATCCTTAGCATTCCAAACGGGGCAATTTCACTCCTACCCATTTTTCTAACACATCGCGACCAAGAAATAAGAAAACAAGACGCCGAAATTGCAGCTCTCTCGGGAGAACAAAAAAGACAGGCCGAAGAAACTAAAAAAGCCTTACAAAACACTCTAATGCATACCTCCCACATCTGTAAGTGTTGTCTTTCCTTCACATATTTCCCTTACATATACAATGCACGTCTGATCTAAGAACATAAAGCATGGGTTTGGGTAATAATATGAGAACAAAAAAGCGCAACCATACTAATCATGACAAGGAAGCGAAGGTCTGGTTATCGAATCGACATGCTGTGTATATTTTAGTTAATGTTTTTCTTGTAACCTCAGATAAGGGAATGGTGTTACAGTCATGCAATGTAATGTAATGTTAATTTTCTCATGTTTATCCCAGAGGGCATCGCCAGGTTTGCTTGACGGTGTCGATTGCAATCTAGTCAACGACAAGCCGTATTCCGTAAATTTGAAAGCTACAGGAGAAATATTCCTTCTGAAGGCAAGTCGATTTAGATTTAAGACAACGTATTTGTTGGGGGAGAAAGGTATATTTACCAGACAGACAACGTAACGGCCAACTAACTGACTTGTAATTGCAGATTGTTGTCGATTTAAAGAATGAGACGATTGTATTACCTATTTTTTGGATTCGCTATACCCTTCATATTTTGACATTGAAGAATAGAACCAAGTCTGAAGAAGTGCATCTATTTTCGTCTTAACTTTCTTACACCTGGGCAAGGAACGGGTAAAAAAGAGGATATGGTAAGTTTATCGATCTAAAGGAGAGTCTTGCATTTACAGAGTTATTGGGACAGGCTGTAATAATTTGTTCTTTTTACCATACTCAGCCATTCTATGATCCAAACGCCAATTTTGTAAGAGCTGTCACGTATTGAAGCACTGATCTGTAATATGCAAAAAGAAAACAAAAAGTGCGTATATATTAGAATTGGAGGTGATGGAGCATTGACAGCATGAACGAATGCTTACTTTGTTATATTTAGACAGACATAAAGCATTTATTTTTGTGACAATGAACTTATTGTCATATTACATATAAGTCTAAAGAATCCTATCATTATTGGCAAGAAGAAGATCTAATCAACAATGTCATGTATTTCTATTGACAATTTAATAATGAGGGCATACAATTCTATCGTGAGGCAGCTGATGTGCAATTTGATGCAACCACTAATCGTAAATGATATGGGGACGAAGATGAACTCGGAGCTGAACAGGAAGAGCGTAGAAGATATGCACACCTTAATAAAGAGTTTTCTGAGAAGATTGCCGAGGCAGTCAGTATCAGTATGTGCGCACTACATATGATTGTTATTTAAAGGACTAACTGACATCCCCTTTTTGTTGTACCGAGCGAAGGGCGCGTAGAGGTTGACATCCTATTCAGGGAGCTTGAATTTAGCGGATTCCTTTCAGAACCAACGTCTATTGCAGCCAACGCTTGAGTGTTTGATCCATCTGACTGACCCCCCGTTTTTGGTAATAATAATTGCTGACATCGATGAATGTGTATAGGTAAGCAACGCTTGAGATCTTATGATAACATTTATTCTGAAATGCTAAATTATTGTCTATACTGTTTAGTACCGCCTACGGAACTTTGATACGGTCTTCGCATTCAAAGACTATTCACGAACTTCGAAATGTCAAAGAATGGTTAGAGTATGTATGTTTTGCAGTATTCAATTTTAATTGACCGGGGTTTTCTCTCTGATATTAATTAGCTCTCGATATTAGTAAGGGCCAGTAAATCTCGACTGGCCGCTGATCCGCCGGAGTTTTCAAAGGAAAGGGGGCATTTTTCCAGCCAGATAGTGAAGTGAGTCGTTATCAACTTTAAGTTTCGAGTACAGGATTCTACTTTGTGGATTGAATAACTAACATGTCGTTAGTTTTCCTTGTGTTCCAGAATGCCGGTGAATTTATGCCGACTATGGTGACAGTCTGTAAACGGATAGTACAAACCTGATATAAGTTGTGTTCTTCTTTGATAAGTGGTCAATATTTTGTCTTTCATAGTGATGAGATGAGGAAGCATCGGAGGCTTCCGTTTCAACAGCGATATTTCTTTGAGCTTCCTCCATCGGGATTTTTGTCTTTTCTCTTAACTCCCTGTTTGCGTTCATAAAATAATCGACGCCGTGAATATATACCTCTTTGGGCCTTTTCCTCAAGTTTACCCAATCGGAGCTGAATCACTACTTTCTGTTGCATAATTGTATCCAGACATAAACTGATACATTGGCATTAACACTAATAGTATTAATTGCGAGGAATAATAAGATAGTTTTATGTCTTTATTGAATAATATCAATGCAGCACTACTATGATCTAGGCTACATTTATTCAGTCTTAGATTGATGCTGGGCCATATAATAGAAGCGTATACTTGTTGAGGTACGAGTAGTTGATACTCACTCATTGGTATTGCTTCTTCTTCTTCTTCTTCTTCTTCTCTAGTGATGTGCTGCAGTAAACGAAATTCTTCGGCTTTACCAACTCATCCTACTTCACGCTGAAGTGCCTGGCAACGTTATTGAGATATGTTTGAAGACGCAAAACCAGCGATTTACAAAAGTCTTCAATAAATCCAGAATTTCTGGAGGCGTTATCAAAAATGTCCTTATATCGAGAACTTAATTTATAACTATAACGACAACAAAGCAATTGTCGTTATACAAATTTGATACGATTAAAAAATCTCGTTTGTTTTTTGAGTTTATTTCTTGCACTTTTTCTAAATTAGTTAAGCAAATTATAATAAAACACTGATTGATTTTCTGCCTACCTTTTCTGCTTTTGCTAATGTCATTAAAATAGAGCTTAATAAGTCGTTATATTAAATGTCGGTATATCCCAATACTTTATTAAGATTTGTCTAATAATCATTTCCCAAAAAAGTCATAACGAAAATTTATAATGCTGTTACATCGAATAAATTTCATTATATAGATTTTTTGTTCCAGAATTTTTGTCAGTATAATGAGATGTCGTTATATAGCAGTGTCGTTATATCGAAACTCACTTGTAATAGTAATAGATAAATTGGTTCATATAATAAATGACCGGGTAACACAAATTTTAATAGTAAAAGTCTTTCTTTTTAAAAATCTCTCCTGCTCTTTTGTACTACGTACGTATGTAAAGTGCAATAATTTTTGTATGGTTCTGAAGCTAATTGATTATGCTTTTCGAAAAAAATAACAATAAATTTTTATAAATTATTATTATAAGTTAATACAGTCCGAGAGATTTCCGAATCTGTAAATCAGATTCTAGAATAGTCTGCAGCTTCCTCGCAATCTGATTGGTGTACAATATTTTTAGCATAGAGAATTTGATGACGCTTTATCAATCAAATAGAAACAAAACTAACAGTAGCAACATACTTCTACGAGCATATAGTCTCAGAATACACGGGGATCCATGCAACTTTAGAAAACAGTTTTCTCTTAAACCCAGTTTAAACATTACACTTCGTACATAATGAATGCAAGACTAGAAGCCAAAGTTGCTTGCCTTGTTTGTTCGATTCTCTTGTCGAAAGTCAGTTAGTCTTAGTAGAATGCGAGACTAAGGAAAACCAAAGATGGCGTCGTACGTCAGCTAGTGCTGCAGCAAAAGGAATAATGGAAATGTTAAATATTATCCTGAACTATCTGCATTCCTTGATTCTCTAGAGAATTACTCTTTATGTGAAAGACATTATAACCAGACTATCGTTAAAAAGTCTTATACGTACGTATTAAACGAGTCACTAAACTAGATTCAAGTTTTTTAGATTCGGGCAGAAAAAAATTAAGACTCTCTAACGATAACAAGGTGCCGGTGTTCAAGAAGACTTTTTGCGATTCTGGAGTCCAAGTATCGTTGCCTGATGAAATGCTTTCGAGGAACTAGAAAATTTCAATCAGCAATTAATTGCTATCTGAGAATACGGTACTAAAGAAGCGGTTAGATGAACCATTTGCCGACCAACAACATCGTATTAGGTGCGTGACGGAAATTACTGAGAGAGAACGAGGTAATTTGTACGATAATATAATAAGTTTGATAAAAAACCATGAGCGATTTGGTTTAGGTAGTCTTTTAGAATATTCTCCTTCCAAATGGCTTGCTGAGCGAAGAAATAAACAAAGCATTCAAATCATTAGTTCCTTTTGCACCTTCACAACAGCATTGGGAAATCGCGGCACGTAATTGTACTAAATTTGTGATATAATGGATATTCTTCAGGTGAAAAACATATGCCTAGTTTTATTACTGAATCGCATAGATTTCGGGTTCGGATAAAAAAGACACAATTGTAAATCCGAATACCTGTGATCGTGGTTTTCAGGATATAAGCGGTAAATGGATACTAAGTGAAGAAATGAAAAAATTTAGTGAATTGCACGGACGAAAAGAATAGACTTTATTAAAACGCGGCTAATTAAGAAGACATCTGGCAACCAATTCCAGTAACACGTGAAAAAGCAGATAATCAAAAAGCTGAAAGTTCGTTAACAAAATCACAACTTTTATCTATTATTAACTCTTTTTAGGTGATTTAGAACGATCACGTTTTCGAGATTTATCAAGTAAATCTCGCGATGATTTATATAATGACGCTCTTCAGGATGTTAGAAATATGTTATCCGAAAGCATTATTAATACTAATAAAGAACAATAATTGAAGCTTTTTTTCTGTAATTAAATCTAGAAATTTCTAAATAAATGATCTGCTTGGACAAATCCATAAATCTCTTGGACTGTAATAGCTCGACAAAGTGTGAGTATACGTGCTATATATATATTTTCATATCGTGATTTAAAAACAGCTGCTTCAACTTGCTACAGCTTAATAGTAATAACCTATCAACTTTATTGTCATTTTTCTCGAAAAGCATATTCAATTAGCTTCAGAACCACACAAAAATTATTGCACTACGGCATAGTACACAAGAGCAGGAAATATAAAGACTTTATATGTTTTACTATTAAAATTTTGTGTTACCCGCCATTTATTGGAGGAGACTGTATGTTGTCCTGTATAGACAAAGAATATTGCGTTCCCTTGATATTCTTGATAGTATTTGTGTCTTTGTTACGGCATATGCAAATCCAAAAATCTGTCATACGAATATCTGGACGGTCATCACATAACCTATTGAAATCATATATGTATGCAAGCTAATAACTAATTATCGATAAACAACTAGTGAACAGAATGTATACATAATTGAATAATTTACTTTATAATAATATAAATTATCTATCACATCCATTATTTATGTGTAAATCAATTTTACTCTAAGACCATCACACTTAGTATTAGTAGATGGTATTTAAGTAAACACCATATCTTTTAATCTGAACATATATACACCACACCAAAGCAAGATTTATTTGCTGATTTTGCTTTCGTAGTGAGATCGACCTGGATGATACAAGCCTACTAACGCCTTAGGATTTTCGAAATTATACTTTATAATTGGCGACAAAGAACTACATTCACAATGGTTATCACTAAGTAAAAGAGATATCCGTTATAGCAATCGTTCACCATAATTTGCTGTTACTAGCAAGGGATTATGTAACGTAGGTATATGTGAAATTTAATCGTCAATAGTATCTGACCAGAGATAACTACTAACAGGTCGCCAATGCGTGTAATTAATTGCAAATAATAAGAGAAGACCGAAACTTATTTGCACGTTTCCTTTTTATTCTGTATTTGATCGAATACCTGAAACGTGCCTACTAGCATGCCATGCTTCATGAACATGCCTCCCTCTAAATATGAACACTTTCTACGATATTCCCTGGACATGTTGAATTGCCAAGATTCAATCGCTGTTTAGTGATAAAAATAAATAGCTATAATATTACTTCTGATTCACATCATACTGTATAACTAGTTAATGGGATAATAACTTATTTAGGAAATATTATGTACGTCAATTTCTACTAATCGAGTGTGGCTGAATCATCGTACAAACCGAGTACAACGTTACTGAATCAAATTTACTTCATCGCACAAATAATAGCGTCGATTATTATGCATCTAAAATTAAATCAAATAGCTGTTGTGCTACACGCAGTCATGAAATAATTAATAATTTAAAAATATAATTAACGAACTAATAGTTTTCTATTTACAGTGTTTGTGGTTTTTGATAACGCGTCAAGTTTCTCATTATGACTAGTCTATTCATCAGATAATTCTTTATGTCTGCAAATATACCAGAATATTCCATACTCCAAGCAGAATCTATATCAAGAGGCAACAGCTATGAACTATTTATCAGCAACTATGTAGTCTTAATCTTTATATTTGGTAAATCTATGTATAACACATTACGTTGTCACTAAAGCCATTTATAATATCTTCTAAATTGACTACTATATATACAAAAATTGGGTGTTGGGGGCCTCATAAAGCTGGTGTACACGTTTATCGTTTCCAAATGTTCGATTAACAGCCTTGAACTTAAAGATAGTTTGAACATTCGTTGTGAATGTTCACTGCTCCAGACTTCCCATAAATCTGTCAAATAGTGGTACTTAGCATCTTCACATGTAACTTGTAGTTATCCAACGATGGAGGTAGTGTTAAAAATTAAAATATTTTTGCAACATTTGCCATTATGCGTCAGATATTCTGCCAAGTGCACTTCTTCTAGCAGGTTAAAACACTGGTTAAACATTAAGCCGTCGTTGAGAGTTGCATAAAAGAGCGAATAAAATAACTGCCATATCATATGGGAGAATGAAGACAGCTGTTTTGAACAGGAGATAACTACCTGCAGCCAACACATTGATATCTCCGAAAGGTTTATAGTTATTGTGATTCTAGTAAACGATCTGATATAAATTAGACCGTGCACTTGCAGAAACCGTAAACACTACACTTAATCTAATCTATAATAGTCATTTCAAGCGTCATTTAAATATTAAGGTTTGATATAATAATCGGGAATTCATAGTTGTGAAGTAGATTGAATAGTCATAACACCAATAAGTAGGAACCAACACTGTATTTTTTCTTACTTTGCTGTAAATTATTGCGGAAATGTTGTACAATGGCATTATGTCGATCTTGTGCTAAATGCATTTACGGTAACCGATATTTTGTGCAAAAAGAGAATCGACTAGTATATAGGTGTTAAATGTACTGTATATATAATCGTTTTTTTTGTATATTGGTTTGTAATTTATTAGAAACATAACAAGTAGTATTTGGCATTCATTTTCTCCTTGGAGAAACCTATATTATAGCTAAACGGAAGTAATGGACATCTTCATTATGTATTTTATCAAGAAAGACGTGCGAGATTTCCGGGGGGGGGATTCGTTATCACATATGTTGCGAGCAAATGCGAAGTAACGAAGTAATCCTTATTCGTCCGCTTATTATTCCACATTGGAGCCAATCACAAG